CTGAATCTTCGATGCAACCATCATCAACCATCAATTGTATGTCAATGCCATCCTATGTGTTAAACCATGTTAAACCAATTCCTTGATCTTAGTTACTCCATGTTACTATTGTTACTCCTTTAATTAATCTTTTTCCGGGCGCAATTTTCGTCACACTTCTGTGGTTACCAGCAGGATCTTTGCAGCGTTTTGGCTGTGGCCGTGATTAGCACACTGCTAGGCTGTGCTGCTGTTCTTCTGCTAAGAATTCCTTCCCGTTACAAACCTTGAACATCTCCTGGTTGCTGAGCGGTGGAGCAGTTCATGAACTCTGCATTTCCAGCAGGTGACAACAAAGACCACCCCGCAATCAGGCCAAGCTCTGTTTCGCCCCATTTTGTCATTGATCATCTTCACAAAACCAGCAGGTGTCGCAACAATTGGAAGCGCGAGTCTTGCCTACGTCCGACCTCTAAGTTCGCAAACACATCAGTCAGCCGACACTTCTGCAGAGATTCCATGCTTCTCATTCTGAATCGAGCTTCCTTCGCCCGCTGCTGCAATTCCTCCACTATTTCCACATGCACTGCTGTAGAACGCTCCTCTTCAAACAACGACCGCAACTCCGCATCAAAGTTCTCCACTTCGGCTTTGCGCGGATCAAAGCTACAGTCACTGTCGAGGAGCTCTCCAAGTCTTTCGAAGCCTTCACGACACGCCAAAACGCTGAAGGGCTGGCGATCTTCACGAGTATAACACGATCGCCCCAGACGAGATAATGCAGCGAACTTCGCAAATCGATCGAAGGCAAACCTAGCAAAATGATGCAAAATGCCAAGAGCCAATGATCTGTCAAGATCTGTCAAGATCCGTGAAGATCTGTCAAGATCTGTCAAGTGCCAAGAGGAGACCATTTCAATTGAAACTTCTGCTATGAACTTGTTTGATCTTGTTTGAACATGTGTGAACTCTTACATGACGAAGTAAATGTCAAGATGGGGAATTGGTCGCCCCTGGCCTGGAGGTGAACAAACGATCAACGAGACACAACAAAGCTTCACGATCGGCGTTCACTGTAAACTCTGCTTTCTCAATGGAAATCTCATGGATCACTTCGGCCTGCATTCCAGCGCATGAGCATACCATTCAATATCCAACTGATTCAACTAATTTACATTTCAGATCATTTCAGATGGCGTCACCTGACCCACCCCCAAGTCACCAAGTCTACTAGCAGAAACCTGCTAGCTGCTATACCCAACCACTGACAGCAGTCAACAAAAAGTTTAACCAGTTGGCGCCGAAGCTCATAAAGCTGTGCATCGAAGCCATCCTTCCGACTCCCAAAATTCACGAAGGCTTTCCATGCAATGCCCAATGCTGCAGAATCGGTCGAAGACGTACTAGCCAGCTTGCACGCAAATTCAAACAAACACCAGCCTGGCAAATACAAATGATCATTTACGTACTTCAGACTGTACAGTAACGTGATGCAACGTGTGCAGGATGACCTCGGAATTTCTGTGCAATAAGTCGGCTCTTCCCAATTGCGTGCAAAATGCATCAAAATGCACTCAGGCACTCATCGCCTCGCGAGAAATAGTGAGGCGATGCGACGGCAATGAGTGCTTTGGAGAGCAGGATGTACTCCAGCAAATAAAAAGAATTCCTGGGGCTTAGCGTGTCAACTGATGACTTTTCCCGTTTTCCTTTTCCACTTCTGGAATGCATCGGACCAAATATGGACCAAATCTTGAAACTCTGACTATAGTTTCAGCTTCGAGCAAAAGGCTGACCGTCGCTGACAACTATGTGTCACTCTCGTTGCTTCTTTCATCTCCTTTCACACAACCCAGGTATCGAAAGCACGAGACACAAAGTTGCACGCGTGTATCATTCCTTCACCATGCAAGAATGTTTACAGTTTACAACCAACGTGTTGCCTAGATTTGCCTCGTCTGGATTCCCACAGCGGCCAGCATGCAGCCGAGATTCGCCTTTATATCTTCAAAAAGCGGCCCGCTTTGAGGCAAACTTGCACGCTCAATCCAAAAGAATGCCTGAGGTGGAGAGGCTGAGAAAAGATTGAATTCAATTTTCCAGTGAAGAACATGATTCTTGACCCTGCATGCGTAATGCCACAGAAACTCTGCCCTGATGAATTCAGCAAAATCAAATGGCTACATCAAATGCCCCCAGACATCCAAATACTATCAAATAATACGATTAAATTTCACGAACTCCTGGGATTTGGGGATTTTTAGGGAATATTGGATATCAAGGTCAAGACTTGCAATATTTGGTGCAGTCTATGTGCACATAGGTGTCCAAGGGGAAACAGCTGGAAACAGTCGGAGATCGCACCTTCGCTCGGCAAATTACTTCACTTCGAATGATCCCCACCATGGCATATATAGCTACATACTCCACAGCTCTGGAAAGACATATCTAAATACGCAACCTAGCCGAAGGACACCAACATACATATATTTTGTCTGACACATCTACAGATACATCTTTCTGACATTCTTTCCGACATTCTATCTGGCACATCTTCTCTCGACCTCCCCATCTATCTCGCATATCTAGCATATCTTCTGACATTCTATCTGGCATATCTTCTGACGTTCTATCTGGCATATCTTCTGACATTCTTTCTGGCACTCTATCTGGCATATATTCTGATATTCTTTCTGGCATATCTTGTGGCATTCAGAACATTCTTTCTGGCATATCTGACATTCTTTCTGGCATATCTTCTGACATTCTTTCTGACATTCTATCTATTCTTTCTGACATTCTTTCTGGCATTCTATCTGGCATATCTTCTGACATCTGACATCTTTTCTCACATTCTTCCCGTTGAGGTCCGGCAGTGCCGACTGCGATCTGGAAGTTTGAGGTCCGGCTGACTGCGATCTGGAAGTCGCGGTTGAGGTCCGGCAGTGCCCACTGCGACCTGGAAGTCGCGGTTGAGGTCCGGCTGCCCACTGCGATCTGCAACTCGCGGTTGAGGTCCGGCGCACTGGGATCTGGAGCTCGCGGTGGAGGTCCGGCTGTGCCCACTGGGATCTGGACTGCGAGGAGGAGGCGGCGGGTGAGGAGGCGGAGGAGGAGAACAGCTCTGATAAAATCTAACAACCCTCACCTGGCAGGTGGGGAAAAACACATGTTTTTACATCATGTTCAAACATTTTGCATGAACATATGCTACAAAATAACTACTTTTTTGGACCTTCAAAAAAACACTGCGTTGCGCGGAAATACTTATTTTTAAAAAAATGCGGGTTGGGCAAGTTTTGGCCTGATCATGTTTCCGACCGTTTCCGACCGTTTCCATTTTTCTGAACGATTAATTGGACCAATTCCGTTTATGGAAGGCTGATCCAGTGCAAACCATGACGCTGAAGTTTTTTCGTGCGACCCTTGTGCGCATAGACTGCACCAAATATTGCATTTTGACCTTGATATCCAATATTCCCCAAAAATCCCAAAGTCCCAGAAGCTCGTGAAATTTGATAAATAATACTGTGAGTCAACACTATATAGCAAGAAGGCCCGGAGCAGTCACGAGCATGAGTCTATGCATTTGGCCGAAATACATCCTTCGGATGAAGACCGCGCTGGCCACGGCATTCGAGATACCTAGGTATGGAATAATTATGAATAATTACTGTAGTACAGAAGGAATTGCGCCTGACAACAAGCTCCACTTTGGCTAGAACTTCCGCAGTGGAACCTTGCCGACTTTGAACTTTCACACCCAAAGAAGCGCCGTAAAGTATGAACAAAACCACACAAAACCATGCAAAGCTGTGCAATTGCAGAGTGTCACCTACACTTGTGGTACGATGCGAGGTAAAACGAAAGAAACGGAATGGACATGCATTGAACCTTGCCAAGGGACACTGACTTGGCTTGTGCCTGTGCATACCATTCACGAGGGTTATCAAAGATCTCTGGCCTTCCCTGCTGCTGCTCGATGCTTGGCACATAAGCAGCTTCTCCTGGAAGTGCACCTGGAGCTGATGGAAACTCTGCCAAACTAAGGACCTTCCATAGCCTTCCGGTGGTTCAGTGACGAACTGGAGGTATATCGGATGTCAACAGGCACTGCTAGGGGAAGGATGCGAACAACAGAAATGAAGCAGCTTTGGCTACGTGATCCTACGTGATAGTCCAGGATTCACTTTGACATGGGAGAAAGTTGCTCAGCAACCCATCTTTCAGCAATGTAGCTGTAGGTCCTAGACGAAAACAAACGTTGCAAAGCTGTTCAGACAGCCCTCCCCCCGATTTTCTATGATTTTCTCCCAATCAAAAAGCTGGTGGAGCTGTGCTTTCAAATCAGCACACTCTCCACCTATTGACGGTCACTTGTTGTCGTGCCCTTAGGAAAAATGCCAGCAACCTATTCCTTCAAAGGCTACTAAGCTCTTATCTTGCAAAGGCCTCATCTTCACTCCTTCTTGCCCAACTTGCCGAACATGAAGGACATGCCAGCACCGACCACAAAAGCACCAGCAATGGCATTGCCGATGGTCACAGGAATCAAGTTCTTGATCAAAATGTCTCCCCAAGTGAGTGGGGCGCCAGAGAACAAGCCGGCTGGGAGGATGAACATGTTGGCCACAGAGTGTTCAAAGCCAATGGCAATGAACATGGAGATAGGGAACCAAACTCCCACCATCTTGCCCGTCATGTCCTTTGCCATGGTGCATAGCCACACAGCCATGCAAACAAGCCAGTTGCACATGATGCCCTTCACCACTGTCTGGCCGAAAGTTGCAGAGCACTTCTTCATCACAGTGTGGACTGCCATGTCGGCCGCACCTGCAGTGAACATTCCGGTGTAGCGTGCCACAGCATCAATCAACAAGCACCCGCAAATGTTTCCAATGTAAGCAATGCTCCAATTGCGAATCAAATCCTTCACGGTGCACTTCTTCTCGTAGATTCCAATAGCCATGGTGGCACTGTTTCCAGTGAAAAGCTGTCCACCTGTTGTCAACACCAGCAAC